ACTACTGCCTGCCTGCAACTACTTTTTGGATTCTTTTTTTTTATTTTTCTATTTCTGCTGTCAGTGAGAACTTATTGCCAGTCAGCGTATGCAGAACAAGAGCTGGTCACGCCCACGCAAATGATTCTGTATTTCTATGCCGATTGCATTTTGAGAACGGTAAAAGGAAAACGAAAATTTGTTGAACGGCTTTCATATGGTGCGCATTATTATTAATATTGATTTTAAGGGGGGGCCGTGCTTGTGTATGTGATGAGAGCCTGGCGATGTCCTTCGCACATATGATGCCAGATGCCCCACACACAGACACACACACACACACACACACAGACAGACGCAGCCTCCACCATTTCTAGAAGTAGTAGTTCGCCATGTGGCTGATAAAAATAACAATAGCAGCCTTTTTTCCTTTGGCTGCCGTTTTGAACCCAAAAGATAAAAGCGCCCCGCATTTTTATGCTTGTATTGTTTGCACGAGCTTGACTAAAAAGAGAAAAAAATAACAAATACGTGACAGAGCGTTGGAAAACGCAGCCTGCGCACAACTAGGCGGCATTTCAACAATAATGAAGCCTAAAATGATTGTGATTAGATTGCTGCTGGCTAAAAAAAAAAAAGAAAACGAGACAAGCTCAAGGACTAGAAGCCGGCACTTAATTAAAGTACAGTGCTTGGGCTTAGGCTGCGTTTGTTATAGATAAATTACTTTTTAAATACAATATAAATAATAAAATACAATATACTATATAGCTATACGTGCATCAATGTATGCTTTATTCATAACCTAAAGAGAAATTTAAATATGTAGAAAACGTGACTTTAACGTATTCGCTGCAGCTAAGTTGTTTGTACTGCAAGAGAAATTGAGTTGTTGTACCCCCAATTTAGGGGGTATTCTAATTTTGTGATGAAGTGGGTAACGCATAGAAGCGGACATCTCCGACCCTATAAAGTATATATATTCTAGATCAGTGTCAACCGAGCTGATACAGCCATGTCCGTCTGTCTGTCTGTTTGTTTATTTGTATGCGAACTAGTCTCTCTCTCTAGTCTCTCTCTCAGTACATATGTCGGAACCGACTGGATCATTATATCATTATATCATTTAGCCGCCATAGGAACCATCGGTCAAAAGGTAGGTTCTTCACCGAACTCGGCATTTATTAGTTTTACTATGCTTCTCATATATATGCAAAATTCTATCAACTTTGGATTACTTCATAATATAGATTTCATAGTAGGCTTAACTCGGCATTTACTATTTGAACTATATGCTGCTTATAAATGTGCCAGGTCTTATCAAGATCGTAATACTATAAAATAAAGCTATTTAGGAAAAATCGGTTAAAAAATGAATTTTTGCATATAAATAGAATGTTTTCCATTAGAGTTTCATCAAACTTCCCATTCACGATTTTCACTATGCTCACATATCAGCAGAACCGTATGTCAAATGTCTACAAGAGTATTAAATGTTCGGCGTGCCAAAAATATGCGTACTTTCTCGTTTATTTTTTTCGTAAGTAAAAGAAACACGCTTTTCTGCGAAAAGTGGCACACACACGAACGCAGCAAGCGACGCGAGGCTGGGCTGCAGCAGCCACAGGAGCAGCAGTTGGCCTGGCTAAGTAGGCCACTTTAGGTGCAGCCGCGAAGCAGCTACGCCAACCGTTTGAGCCCGGAACAGCACTTGGAATGCTGCTTTGTTAAGAGTTTGAAGAGCTGAGTTGAGTGGAGTATTCTCATGCATCATGGGTTGCAATTTTGCAAGTTTGCCAAACCAGATGATTGACTTGTCTTAAGAATTGCTAATTTCAGGCACAAGCTAAAGAGTTTCAGGCACAACATACAAATTTTTTCTTTTTTAGCTTAAGCTGCATTTCAACATTTTTTCGAATTATTCCAAAGGACTGCAATGCACATGATATGCTGCAAATCCTTTACAAAACTAACTAGAATTATTTTTATTCTTAGTCAACGAGCGACGGCGACGAAAGGTAAGCAGATTATGTAACATATATGTATTTATACAACGCTACATCCACGTGCTGATGCCACATGAGTGTAGGAGTGCGTGTGTGTGTGTGTGTGCGTGTGCGTGTGTGTGTGTGTTTCTCACAGATAGCATTAACAATGGCACATGCTGACGCCAGTTTGTTTTGCAACTTTTCAACAGCTCTTTTTCAACTGTTTTTATTAGTGATTTCCGTTGAAAACAAGCTAAATTATGCGTATTTCTTTTTAGCCTTTTTTTCGGGGGTCAGGTTGCGGGCTGCGACACCTGCCATAAACTTTACTTGGTTTAGCTTGAATATATCTGAGAAGCTTCAAATATGTAATATGCGCTCGAAGAAAATGAAAACTTTGTTCAATATACTTTGGCTGTCATTTTTGTTAAGAGATCTTTGCAAATATTTTACTTTTTTTTAATATGTGAGCAAGGTAAATAATAAATAATGGTTTTTGATTTCTCGATAATTGTATTTTGATAAATTTGACTTCAGATTTAATGGAAATTGATTTGCAATAGGTTTTGAACCATTGCTTGTTACCAGACGAAGGTCAACTTAGCTAAAAATGAAAACATAACTCAAACAAATAAATAAAAAACATAAACTCCAAGTTTCTTTCTTAAATATGCTTATAGCTCGGGCAATTAAGTTAGTTGAACGCTCATTCGGCCAACTTGTTGTGCTTTAAACTGGAATATGTTGAAAATGTAGGCCTATTAATTCATAGCACATGCAGTCAGTGGCCTGCCTCTATTGTTCGGCACAAGCCCATTGGGCAGATAAACGAAAATCTAACTGGGCATAATGCTCATTCGGCTACTAATTGATAGGGCACGTGCCCCACAAACAATGAGGTAAACAATCCAAAAGGCAGCTCACCTCAGCCTGAAAGACAACGGCAGCATTGATTGCATGGCTCGATTGCCTGCTCGTGCCTGAGCATGTGAAACTGACACGGGCCAATTGAATAATGCAGATCCACATGTGCAAAGGGTCCGGACAGACCAATTCATTATCGATTGCGTCAATGTGAAGTTGCAATTGGATATGCAAAATTGAGCCACAAAGCGCTCAGACAAGGTTAAAGCTTACAAGCTCAGTGGAAAAGAATGCCACAAAAAGACTATAATTACGAATCAATAGCTTTGCCGGAGCGCACTATAAATATGGTTGTTTGTTTTAAATATGTGTAAATGATAAATGTAATTGCTATTGTCGCACTTATTCACATGTGTATAATCAAAGGAGCTGCGCAGTGGATAGCAAATAAAGCCCGAAACTCAATCGAAAGTCGACTTGTCAACAGCTCAACAAATCAATCATACGCAGCGTGGTGCGTGCTTTCCTGCTAGCTAATGCGTGCCTGTTGGGCGTGTATTATCTATGGCACACACACACAGACACACAGACGCAGACATGCATGTGACACTTGGATTTATAAATAATACAGCCCACTCATTACTCCAAACAATAAAGCTGGCTTCCAATTTCGTCGAATGTGTCATTATTGAATTATTTAAATCTCGAGTCGAGGCCAACCAAACAAATAATGGACAACAACAACACATTTATTGCAATTGGATTGGGCTGGGTGACTGGCACCTGCCTCAGGTACAGTTCAGCACAGTTCCAGAACTGACTACAAGTTGGCAAAGTTTTGTAAACTTAATTAATTTAAATGAGCTTGGAACCTGAAGTCAACTGAAACTCAATTTGACGATGCATGCAAATTAACTCAAACTCGAACTCGACTAGTTAAGAGAAGTTCTTGTACATAAGCCTACTTAAGTATAAGCCCTGCAAGTCTCGTAGTTGACAGCTGATAATCAAGGCTGAACTTTCGTCAACTTACAGGGCTGAAAAACTAATATCACATTGTGCAATCAAATCATGTTTTATCTATCGTATCAATGGAAGCTAATTGGCATACAAATTTATAAGAAGGATTCATACAGAAACTCATAATTGTGATCAAGATTTTTTTAGTACATTAACATAAAATGTCATAAGATAAAAACAAACAAATAGTTAATTTCTTAAAAAATTATTTATTTATATATAAACATTTGTAAACGAAAATATTTTATTGTATATAAACAAAAAGACAAGGAAACAATTTAAAGAAAATAAATAAATATATACTTACATACAAAATTTAATTTAAAAATAAACATTAAAACAAACATTTGTTTTGATTGATAAAGAAAAATGTCACAAAAATGAAGAGAAATAAACAAAGAATTAATTACTTAACATTTTTAATTTATATATAAGCTTTTGTAAAAAAAAGAACCAATAAAATAAAAGGTTATTTAAATATAACGAAAAGAAAACTAAATAATGAGTTAGGAAATTTTAATTATATATAAACATGTGTTAAAAAAGAAGAAAATCCAACAACTATGTAGAAAATTAAACAAATAATTAAATACTTTAAACAATTGTTTTTAATTTTTAAATAAATTCACCAATAAACATTAAAACAAAAATTGTTGAGTAAATAGTAACTTAAAAAATTAAATTTATAAATAAACATTTGTAAAAGGAATTTGCTTAATATAAAGCAAGTAATGCCATAAAAAATGAAGGAAAGTAAAAAATAATTAATTATGATAAACATTATTTTTAAATATATAAACATTTGTAAACCATAATCATAAAAAATAATTAGAAAAATATTTAAATGAACTTACATAGAAATTGTAAGCCACATCTGTTAACTGCAACACGCAAGTTTTCAATATCGAATAATCTTTCTTATATATGAGAAAACTTTCTTCTTGAAATATTTTAAAACAATTTTATGAGTTTCTTTTGTATCTTTGTTAGTTTATTTATTTGTTTTATTAAGATAATAATTTTTAATTATATATTTTTGTTTATTATTTTTATAGAAAATCATTTTGAATCTTTTTAATTATAATTTTCTGTCTGTTATTGTTGTAGTTTAAGGCAAATACTTAGCGATAGAATTGTGGCCGTACATACCTGAGATTTTCAATGCGTGGCCGGCGGCACTGCGGACGATTGCGCCGATGGCTGCGATCCTTTTTACAGCGGCAATCGCAATGCATGATGCAGAGGGCGATGGATGAGATGACCGTTATCACAAAGGGGACCACAAAAAAATGAATGATGATGGCCTCCTGGTCGTCATGATTGTAGGATGTGAGGACGACGGTCTTGTTTTTGCGCGAATAGAAACACGGATAGATGGCGCCCTCGACGCCATAATACATATTGAAGTTCTTGCACGTGACAGTGGGCGGATAGCCGCACCCCTTAATGTTGACCAGCAATGTGGCCTCACCGGACTGCTCCCACTCGGCGGTGTAGTTGGTAAAGTCGGTCATGTTCTCTGGTATCGTAATGTTCTGTTCAATAAATGTCACATATATGTGCACACAGCGATAGAGATCGGAGGTGCAGCCCTCGCGACAGGAGCTCCACGAGCAATTGAATATGCCGACAAGATCCTCGCGACGCGTTGTTGTGCACAGCGTTGGATTCTCGATAAAATCGTGGCTCAGTGTCGATATGGCTGGATCCACATAGAGCGGCACCAGAAACAGCAGCGATGCGCCGGCCGTCACCGAGAAAAAGGCGAGTGTTGAGGTGCCATAGAAACGCGCACGTTCCCGCCACGAACGAAAGCGCCGATTGCCATTTTTCTTTTTTGGAGCCAGTTCTCGGATTTTACGTAACCGTAGCTCTTGTTGTTGCTGCTCGAGTAGTAATTCCGAACTGCCACTCCTCATATTATTGTCGGTGCACCCAGGGCGCTGATGTTGCTGCTGATTGTTGCTGCTGCTACTGCTGCTACTGCTGCTGCGGCTGCTGTTGTTGTTGCTGTTGTTAATGCTGTTACTGCTTTCCCTTTTGTTGTTGCTTGCGTTGACGTTGACGTCGCCGTTGGCGTCGGCGTCGCAGCAGCAGCTGCAGCTGCAGCGACGTCACCACCCGCACCAGCCAAAGCCTGCGGCTGGGCCTGAGAGCTGCTCCTAGGGTTAGTCGTTGTCGTTGTCGTCGGTGTTGCACTCTTCAATTTGGCAGCAGGCAGAGCGACAAAACGTGAGAGAGAGCGAAATGAAGAAGGCTGGACACTTGCAGCGTACGACGAAGCTGACGCTGACGCGGACGTTGCGTTGGCAGCGGCAGGCGTCGCTGCCTACCGCAACATCCAAGAGCGGCACGAGTACGCAGCGGACGCGAGACAAACTTTTCGATGATTGAGGTTATGTACACACGCGTCGACGCAGAAGGAGACCGGATAAACAGCTGTTCGACCAACCAAGCCTCACACTCGCTGCCCACAGAAAGCGTTACAAATCACGAGAGAGCGAGAGTGGGTGGGAGAGACAGAGAGAGAGAGATAGTTAGACAGAGAGCGCGCGCGTGAGTACCTAATGGGCAGGGGTTGTGTATAGGCAGGCAGACAGCGAGTGTGTGACAGAGATAGCGCGCACAAGATAGTGAGAGAGAATGCGAGAGAGTGAGAGACAGAGTCAGTCAGACGGCGAAAGGAAGACGCTCGGCAGCGTCTTCATTTGTGTTGTATGAGTTGATTTTTATTTTCGCTTTACTTTTTATTATCGTCGCGGGCAGCTTTGACATTTGCATTATAATGCTAGCACTTGTGCTGTTGTTTCTAATTGTTATTGCCGTTAATTCACTGCTATTGTTGTTGTTATTGTTGGCACTGGAAAAAGAAGAAGCAGAAGAACAACAAGAACATGAACAATGTAAAGGGCGGCAATTAACAAATTGCGGTTTATGCGTGCGCCGCACTTGACAGCTGTTGATGTAGGTTAGTTTGACGAGAGAGTGAACAGCGGCGAACAGCGAGCAGCGAGTAAGCTAGCGAGTGCGAGAGAGCAGCGCCCGAAAAAGGACGCTGTCAACGTTGGCAGCAACGTCAGCGTCAACGTCAGCGTCGACGTCGCGAGCAGACTGTGTGACTTTCTTTTTAGTATGTCGCCCCAGTGACTGTGTAATCTTTTATTTTATTTTTTTTATGGGTAGAATTATTTATGCTACACATTTTGTGCGGCACAATCTAATGTTGTTGCCATAGTTGTTGTTATTATTTTTCAATTTATTTGCATTTTTCTCGACTCACGCAAGTTCAACCAAAAAAAAAAATTACCAGATATGCTTGATTTATTATAGTTCCCACCAAGTGTTCAATGTCTGTTGACCACAAAAAACGGCGCCTAGTTCAGCAGCGTACACTGAAACAATCTAAGTAGGCGCTAGTCAGTTGAACTAAATGAAAATCTAATCGCTGTACCTATTTTGCATCGTGTAGCGCCTTTTTTGTTATTGAAATAGCCTAGCTTATTTAGCCCTAGACAAAAAAGAAAGTATCTATTATAACAAGAGCTGATGACTCGCATCAATGCTTGATTTATAAACTGCTTTACAACACTGTTTTCTCAATTATTACCCGTTTCTTTCAGCACTTGTCGCGAAAAGAGGAATTTAACTATAATTTAAAAAAATTATGTATTTGCTTAATGCTTGTGACTGTTAAAAACAGTAAATAAAATACATTATAAATGAATAAATAAAATAGTAAAATAAATAATATAACTATAAATATAATACAAAACTAATAAAATAAATATTAATAGACAATATGGATATTAATATAATAAATAAATGAATAAATATTAATAAATAATTTAACGTTGTAAAATACATTTAAAAGAAATATAACAAATAGTATAAATATAATAAGTGAAAAATTAAATAAATAAATTAATATAATAAAATAAATAATAAAAAGGCATATTAATATAGATAGAATATAACACAATTATAATAATACTAAATAATATAGATATAAATAAATTAATAATAATAATTAATAAAATATATACGTAATAATACGAAATATAAATATAAAGAAAATTAAAAAAAATATAAATTAAAATAATGAAATAAATAACAAAAAATAATTTAGATAAATATAAATATAGAAAACAAATAAATTAATGAATAAAATGAAATAAAATTAAAAAAATATAGCCAGCTGGTGCTATTTTTGTATTATTTTATCTTCTTGTTTTTACTATTTATTTTATTTTTTACTTATTTCCAATCTTGTTGATCTTGTTGGTAGCAGTTTATTTTCCATTGCCTGGACAATCTTTCGCTATGCTCTTCCATTCGAAATATTCACTTTTTGCGCCTGTCCGCATGACACCCACTATTTACCCACATATTCAGTTCGAGAATTTTTGTTTTTATTGCAGCTTTGCGTGACTCTAAATGTTGGTCACTTTCCACCCACACACACAGTTTGTTTTTGTTGCCGGAGTTTGGAGCACATTTCACAATTTTAGCAAGCACACACACACACACACACACACGCACACACACATGACATACATGGCATGCACGTGTTTGCGTGTGCTCCCATGTATTTCGGATGATTTCATTCAAGTATATGTCCTGCATCGTGCGTTGAGTTCTTTCAACTGGGCACAGGGCGTATGAGTAATATCATGACAGAACAAGTCTGCGCAATGGTCAGAGAACAGATTTTGCTAGACTTTGTGTTGGACTTTTCTTTCAAGTTCATTTTTTGAACAATATTAAATTCCATTCGCTGCTCGCTGCTGCCGCAGATAATTGTTGCTAAAATTTATATAAAATATATATACATATATTTGCACATAGTTAAATACAGCCGCCCATGCCACGCCTTTTGCGGCTAGCACTAACTGTGGCAAAAAAAATTGCAGCCAAGTATCTAACTAACTTTTGACAGTTGAAATCGCGCTGCTCCGCACATTGTTGCCCCCTTGACAAAATTGTTGCTGTTGTTGTTGTTGTTATTGCTTCACTGGCCAAATTTGAAGATTTTTTTGTTGTTGTTTGTTTTGTGCACAATGTACCGCCGATTACAGCACAGAATTTGCCATAGACTAGGGAATTTGTTAGCCTTTTCGCAGGCAAACACACGCGCGGGCACACACACACACAGACACAACACAACACACACTGAATCGAGACGAGAAGCGCGAACGCTGGGCCCTGACGTGCCTCTCGGAGTGTTTGTCCAAAACTGAGACAAGGACCCGACTCCGCACAGGACTCAAGTGTAGGTGTCTATGTGACTGCGTGTGTGTGTGTGTGTGTGTGGGTGGCGTCAGCTTTGCGAAGTCAACATGAACAGCGCTGGCGACGTCAACGCCGGCAGCGACTCTTTGCCGAGTCTGGAGCATTCAAAGGATTCGCATTTGCGCACTTCGTGCACCCGTTGAGCTTGGGAGAAACACTCGTTGGCTCAAGCATTCGCTAGTTGCTTGTTACCAACGAATGCTACACTGCTTGTCCTACTGCCTACTGAATTTGTTAAACCAACATACAATTCTCACAATCTCTCGATTATTAAATATACAAATGAATTCGAATAAATAAAGTAAACTTTTGCATATTAAATACAAATTCAAAAAAAATGTTTATCGCGTTGTGTGCAGTGCACTGCTTGACACTTAGCGCAAACAACAACCGACGTGCACTGCTTGCTGGTGCTTATCGTATAGTGTAGCTTACACTGGTGGCCGACCAGTCGGCACACTCTGCTTTTTGTACCCTCAAATCAAATGGTAACGAGAAAGAAGTGCTATCTTCGGCACACCGAAGATTTAATACCCTTGCAGACCTAACCTTTTCAAAATGCTCATAGTGCTTTGCCCGTATCTAAGAAGCACAGGGAAAATAGTTAATGCCGAGTATGGTTAAGATATCTTGAAAAACAAAACAGGTTTCCATACAACAACTTAATTTTCGACCGATCGTTCCTATGGCAGCTATATGATATAGTAGCCAGATGTGAATAAGATTTTGCATAAGTGGAGGGAGCATAGTAAAACTAATAAATGCCGAGTTTGGTCAAGATATCTTGAAAAACAAAAAAAATTCCATACAACAGCATAATTTTCGACTGATCGTTCCTATGGCAGCTATATGATATAGTTGTCCGATCTTAATAGAATTTTGCATATATATGGGGACCGTAGTAAAACTAATAAATACCGAGTTTGGTTAAGATATCTTGAAACACATAAAAATTTTCCATACAAAAACTTAATTTTCGACCGATCTTTCCTATGGCGGCTATATGATATAGTGGTCCGATCTTAATAGGATTTTGCATATATATGGGGAGCCTAGTAAAACTAATAAATACCGAGTTTGGTCAAGATATCTTGAAAAACATAAAAATTTTCCATACAAAAACTTAATTTTCGACCGATCGTTCCTATGGCAGCTATATGATATAGTTGCCCGATCTGAATAGAATTTTGCATATATATGGGAAGCTTAGTAAAACTAATAAGTACCGAGTTTGGTCAAGATATCTTGAAAAACATAAAAATTTTCCATACAAAAACTTAATTTTCGACCGATCGTTCCTATGGCAGCTATATGATATAGTTGTCCGATCTTAATAGGATTTTGCATATATATGGGGAGCGTAGTAAAACTAATAAATACCGAGTTTGGTCAAGATATCTTGAAACACATAAAAATTTTCCATACAAAAACTTAATTTTCGACCGATCTTTCCTATGGCAGCTATATGATATAGTTGTCCGATCTTAATAGCGTAGTAAAACTAATAAATACCGAAAAAAATAAAAATTTTCCATACAAAAACTTAATTTTCGACCGATCGTTTTTATGGCAGCTATATGATATAGTTGTCCGATCTTAATAGGATTTTGCATATATATGGGGAGCGTAGTAAAACTAATAAATACTGAGTTCTGCAAAGTTTCATAAAGATAGCTTCAAAACTGAGAGACTAGTTCGCATAGAAACAGACAGACGGACAGACGGACATGGCTATATCAACTCGACTGTTGATACTGATCAAGAATATATATACTTTATGGGGTTGGAGATGTCTCCTTCTATGCGTTACACATTTCACGACAAAATTATAATACCCTCTGCAAGGGTATAAAAACAGGGTATAATGGTTTTGTGCAAATGTATGTAATAGCCAGAAGGTATCATCGCCGACCACATTATGTATATCAATATATATTCTTGGTCAGAATCAATGGCCAAGTCAAAGCAGTAAAAACAGTACCGCTAACCCCTTAATACTGGAGTGTGGAATTGTTTTTCTAGTCATCTTTTTAAATCCGAAAAAACTTATCCTACATTTTGATTTATTTTGCTTTTAGGTCCAATTTCGTTCTGGTGCCAATGAAAACCTGATTTAATTTAAAAAATAATATAATACAAATAATATTTAATATATAACATAATAGATTATTTATTATAATTATATACTAGCGGGTATTACCCGGCCTTGCCCGTGCCAACTTTTGTGCTACAAATTTGAGATATTACTTTACACCCAGCTCCCGCCCGTGGAAAATTTGAATCTATCCGTACCATCTTGATCTCCCAAATGTTGAAATCAACGGCTTCCGCCCCTGTGAGTTTTGTGATGAGAATCTTTAATCTGACAAATAGACGTTTGTTAATTAAGTCTGCATATTCCATCCAAAAGAGATATATATTGTGAAAAACATCCAATATATTTTCACATATTTAAAAAAAACCCGTCTTAGGGAACACCTCCGTCACATAAGTTAACTACAATAAAAAGTTAAAGCTTCCTAGCTCTTACGGTTGGGCTGTGCGTTGATCACCAATCGGTCAGTCAGTCAGTTTTATATATAGACTTATATATTAAATAAGATTAATATAGTATTTGGTTTAATTCAATTTATTATTATTTGGTATTTGGTATTTGGTTATTTGGTATTTAGCAGTTTTTGTTAGGTCGCATTTCGATATTAACATTGATACACTTATCTCTTAGTCAGTGAGTTAGCGAAATTTTCCTTAAAGAAATAGAATATAGTTGTTCGGCCTCCTCATTGCTGTGAATTAAATTGCACACGAATTAAAGAATCACGTAAGATCTTTTGGTTGATATATAAACTTTAAACTGCAATGGCTTTAGCTGCTGAAAATTATTTTATTTATTTATATATAAATATATATTTTTTTTTTTTTTTTTTTTGTTTGTTTATTGTATTGAATCAAAAATAGCATACATTTTTATTACAACACAGTTGGCTTAGGTGATATTACGCCAAGCCTGGTTGGGTCCTCAGGCTTTATCGTGGACAAACGTCAAAGGCGGCTTTTTGAGTAAGGCTGCAGGCTGCGTCGTCACGTAGGTAGTCGGGGGACTCTGGGGCGTCTCCTATGTCGTGGTTGGAGGAGGTCCTTGAACGATCTTCTCTTGAGCCTCGTGACTACACACCTCCCAGCGAGGTCTCTTGCTACCCGGCTGCAGTGTCGCTGCAAGCGTTCGCTGTACCGGTTGGCAAATGCTCCGACTTGGCTGTCTATGGTCTCCATTTTGAGGTCTCTGTGCAATGTAGAATTTCTGACGTACCAGTCAGCACCCGTAATTCGGCACAAGGCCAAGTTTTGGAGTGTCTGAATCCGTCTTCGATTTGTCCGAGATGCAATGCCCCAGACCTGAATACCGTATCTCCAAGTTGGTGCCACCACGACGTTGTAAACTGCCCGTTCGCAGCGAAGTGGCAATGGGCTGTTGGGGTTTAGTAGCCAGTTGGCCTTGGCCATCTTATAGCGGCACTGCTTAAGAAGGCCGTCGATGTGCGCCCGAAAACTAAGCCTCTTATTGTAGTGCAATTCCAAGATACTTGGCGCTTCTGCCAGGGTGGAGGGGGCTACCGTCTATCCAGACTGCTGAAGCATTGAGCTTGATGTTCCACCTGCGTGTCCAGCTCTCAAGCAAGTGAATGTATTCCTGGGCACCGTCGGTGGCTTCGTACTCGCAGTGGGCTGAGTAAAATATTGCCACGTCATCGGCAAATGTAGCCATCAAGTATTTGCCTGGGGTGGCAAACTCGTGTAGTTCATCCGGAGTGGGGATGTCTGCCGTGTACAAGTTGTAGAGAAAGGGGCCCAGTACGCTGCCTTGGGGGACACCCGCCTTCATTTTGCGGGCAGGAGAGATTGCTGCTCTAACTTTGACTTCGAACTTTCGCTCCATTAGATAAGAGCGCAGAAGTAGAAAGAAGGGGGCGGGAAGACTCATCTTGATTTTCTGGAGCAATCCATCAATCCAGACTCGGTCAAAGGCCTGCTTAACGTCTACAAAGACTCCATAGCAGTAGTCTTTGTCGTCGTAAGCCTTAAGAATATGGTTAATCACTCTGTGAACCTGTTCGACAGCGCCATGCCCTCCCCTGAATCCAAATTGGTGTTCAGGAAGGATGGCCATGTGATCCATAAGCCTTGAAAGTCGGGCGACAATCATCGCTTCTCGGCCTTATGGCTAAGATCAAAGTGTAGTATAAATATATTGCGTATTGAGGTTGGGTCGTTAGAAAGTTCGAGAAGGGATCGGTCGAAAGTCCATTCAATCATCATACAACATTACTACAGAAAACATCCGTTATGAAGAAAATTATACAACACTACATAAATGAGCGTCAGTGAAGTAGGCTTTGGGATCAAGGATACATTCACCTGAAGCCTAATGTGGCACTAGATAGCAAACAGTATTGTCCATTAGCATGGGAGGCTTTGTTGTCGATGAACGTATGTTGACCGCAATTGGGAAAAGCTTCGTAGACAAAACACAGGGCGATATATCTGTTACACATCACACGCGTAGGTGGAACAAGTAAGCGGCTCTAGTCGGGAGTTCCGGACTAGGGGATCACCTAGACCCTCTTCTACCAACACCAAATTCAGCTAGCACTACGAGCTCGTTTGCTTAAGCAGTAATAAAAATAAATAAACAACGAGAATGAAGGGCTATCTTCGTCACGCCGAAGATTTAATACCCTTGCAGACCCAAACTTTTCGTAATGTTCATAATGCTATGCCCGTATCTAAGAAGCACAGGGAAAATAGTTAACGCCGAGTATGGTTAACATATCTTGAAAAACAAAAAAAAGTTTTCCACAGAACACCTTTATTTTCGACCGATCGCTCCTATGGCAGCATTTGATAAAGTAGTGCGATGTAAACTACTTTTTTGGTCAAGAGAACTTGAAAAACAAAAAAGTTTTCCATACTACAACTTAATTTTCGACCTATCATTCCTATGACAGCTTTATACTATAGTGGTCCGATGTTGATAGTATTTTGCATACAAGAACCTACTTTTCGACCGATCGTTCTAATGGCAGCTATATGATATAGTATTCCGATCCAGCCGGTTCCGACATATGTACTGCGTGCAACAAAAGGAGGCACTTCTGCAAAGTTTCATGACGATAGCTTAAAAACTAGACTAGTTCGCATAGAAACAGACAGACAGACATGGCTATATCGACTCGGCTATTGACGCTGATCAAGAATATTTATACTTTATGGGGTCGGAGATGCTTCCTTCTGCCTGTTACTTTTGCACAAAAAACCCCTTTTACCTATTTTTAATGGGTGCAAAGGGTAAAAAGGGGCGACAAAAGCTCGAATAGTCTACAAGGTACTGTGATGAGTCCTTTGGATGCCATTCGCCAGTCAAATATTTGTCCGAAAAGTTGTTTTCCTGGCTTAGAAAGTGTTTTCTCTCCTCGAAATTTCGCTAAAAAATAAATGAAAGTATTGCCGTGAGTTATTTTGTTGGTATTAGTAAGAGTTTGTTTCATACCTTTGTTGAATACTAATCATTCCTCAGATTGAGTTTCGGACGACTATCTGCTCATAGGAAGATTCCATTGGTTAAACATCCGATCGAAGTGGAGAAGGTTTCATTACATCAGGGTAAGGCCCAGGAGAATCTACAGTTCTCGAGAGTACCCAATCGGCAGGGATCCCGGCGATAACTCAGGCCCATCAAACTTCTAGGAAATCCATGCAATTGGACATGACTGAGTCCAAGCGCAGCTCCATTTAGATAATGAAGGGCATTGTCGATGTGCTCCGACCACTAGGGAGGGGCTCAGCCGATTAAAGCGCAGCGCCGATGCCTGCAAAGCCGATTGTGCCGGACCCGGGGAAAGTGGCAGAAATAAATCCTGGGGCGGAGCACGACATCATTCTGGAATTGCTGCAACGGGGGCAACAATCCGCTAGACGAGTGGATGACTATATTCACCAGAAAGGGAGAGAGAAAAAGATAAAGAAAGAGCGAAGTTTGAAGGAGAGTGTGGAAAATTTGCGATGGATGTGACAGGAATGCATAGAAGGGGAAAGGAATGTTTGGGATTAGTGGAGTCGAAACAAAATCGTGGATCGAAACTGAAGGCCTACGAGCTAAATATTCGACCGGAAGCTCCGCTAAGAGGTTTTGAAAAGGGGCCTTTGTGAGAGACAGAGCGCAATCCGGGATAAATTCTGCGGACGGTTCGATCATAGTTCGATAATAGCTTCAGGGACTGTCTTTTCAGAGTGCGTTGGAACTTCTGCGGTTGGTAGATGAGAAGGCTGGAAAGAGGGATTTGAATTCGGGAAGTTGAGCAACTTATAAGCTCTTAACCTCTCAAGGTCAACAACTAGATAGTTATATAATCAACTATGTACACATAGGTGGGGAGATGCAATTAAGTATGTTCACACGATGATCAGTTTTCACAAACCATGAATATATCCAAATACTTACATATATATAATTTGAGCTGCATAACATTTGAAAATTCCTTATAACCAGCACGTATTCCCTTGTACAACTCATGGACTCATGGCATATCCGTAAATTACTAAAATTTACTTTGTTCGCGGAAACGTTCGAAGTTTAATGCAATCTTATATTTTTATCACCAAAGAAATATAAATTGATTGTTAGACGATTAGATTAGATTTGGTAAGTGCGCATGCCGCATTGCAATAGATTTCGAATAAGTAAAAGTAATTTATTAAGATTAAATAACAAGTCATTAATTATGATTTTTAAAACGTAATGTTATTATTATTATATTTAGTACTAGTGTGAACCTAAGCTATTCTAGTTTTATTTTATCTATACCTGTACATGTGAATACACATATACATACATACATACAAACATACAGACATAAATACATAAAAACATACATACATACATGCATACATACATATACTCATGTATGATGTATGAAAATAAGTTTAGATCCATCGAATTAAGAACCAAAAGCTGGAATCAACCTCTACAACTCCTAAGTCTTGTGTTGAGAATCGTGAAGACGCAAATTAAACGTCCGCTTATTAAAACTTTGACACGCATTTTCCATCCAATTAAGGTGTATTTTCCGAAAAACGAATCAAAAAAATGTTTACAAATATATTTGAAGATGAGTTTGAAACCAATCGGATGATAAACAAAAACCTTAAATATTTTCCGCCAAATTTGCATTTTCCATTTTACATACCACCATTTCCACCAAGGATGATTGGATTTTCCGAAAAATGTGAGACACCCCTAATATGAATTTGAACAAAAATCTTTGAAAATGATGGTACACAAAAAAAGTTTCATACAACCGTTTTTCCACGATTTTTCCAACCTTCGGATAGGATTTCCCAAGACCCTATTTTAGCGTGCAACTCCATCAAATAAGGTAACTACAAAAGCTTCCTAGCTCTTACTTTTGATGTCCTCTGATAGTAATAGTCAGTCTGGATAAATAGTTTTATGTTATATATGGAGGCTAGCTGGTATAACCCGGCCTTGCAGGGTGAAAATGATTTTGAAAATGATTTTGACAAACATCTTTTATACAAACGGTTTCCGCCTCTGTTGCGGGTGACAGCGAGAAAGCTTTGATTTTGCCATAAATGCGAAACACGTCTCAAATGATTTTTTATGTAGATCCTTGAAAATGAATTTCAGGGCGAAACGACACCCACCAAATCTTTGACCCCCATTTCCATCAAGGAGGGATGGATTATCAAAAAAGTGCGAAACACACATCAGATGAATTTTGACATAGATCTTTGAAATTGATTTTGAGTCCGATCGGATAGTAAACAAAAATCTTTCATATTACCGTTTTCCGCCAATTTACAACTGTTGCGGGTGGAATTTCCCAAAAATAAAACAAGTATACACTATGTTATTATGTACAGCTTTGAAAATAAGTTTGAAGCAAACCGGACACATCTTAAAACTTCGCCCAACAAATCTTTCAGTCGCATTTCTACCGAAGAAGTTTTGATTCTGTGAAAAGTTCAAAACACGTCCCATATGCTTGTTCTTATAGATCCTAGGGTACAAATTTGAGCGCGAAACGTCAGCCACCAGACCTTTGACCCGCATTTCCACCAAGGAGGAATGGATTTTCCTAAAAGTGTGAAACACCCCTCAAATGAATATGAACAAGGAACTTTGAAAATGAGTCTGAGACCGCTCGGATGGTCAACAAAAAAGTTTCATACAAACGTTTTTCACGATTTTTCCACACTTGGGGGCAGAATTTCCCAAAACCCCGTCTTGCGTTGATCACCAATCAGCTAGTCAGTCAGTCAGAACAAAAAGTTGTATATATAGAGATACATAATAGATTGTTATCTCCTATTGGTATTTTCATCAAAAGTAGAACCATGTCCAATGTCTTGATTTAATAAACCAATATACTACACCGACACAGTTAGCTGGTAATATGGTTTAGTATGCCACCAATACTGTACTGGCCAGTATCCATATTACTGTGCAGTGAATCACCCAAGAAACTAATAAATATTGCATTAATAAGATTAGTAAGAAATGAATGTAATGATTCTTTATTATTATAATGATTATAATTTTATAATATCATAATGGTTCTCCATTTGATTGGACTTATTTTAGGCCAAGATGATTGTGATTGTGATGTTAGTACTCAGTTTGGTTGTTTGTGTAGGATCCTTAAATTCAATGAGGAGAACTGAACTGGATTGCGGCTGCTTCTTCCACGTTGAACGGATCGCGAACTGCTCGAATCAAAGAAGCATTGACTTTAAGTGCTTGAGGATGAGAGCCCCAACAGAGATATGGCTGAAGTGGAATAATTATAGTGCTGTTCCAGAGGAACTATTACACGATTTCAATAGCACTAGAAAAATTGACTTATCAAACAATAATATACAAGTTTTGCCTGTTGGCATTTCGGAATCCCTACCACAGTTATGGCACTTGGTTCTAGACTACAACAACTTCTCTGACCCAAACGAGCTGCTGCGGATAAATATACGAGGCAGGGCGTCGATGCATTATAATCCACTTATTTGCAATTGCAGCGATCCCAACTATAAGCAAATCCTGAGTCGTGCAAACGTAGGCAAATAGATATTATGTACAAAAGGGCGGTGAATAATCGTGTATCTGTCTTGCCTTTACAGAACTTAAAAACGACCTTGGTGTGTGTAAACAATCCAGATGGGAAGCCCAAATCGTTTCTGGACATTTGCCACCAATCCAACAGTTATGGTTATCAAGTACAAGGTGACCAGCGTATATGGTGGCCCTTAATTACAATCGTGATATATATTATAGTCAATGTCATCATTTGCCGTCGAGTGGACTGAATCATCAAATTGTAATTTTGAATAAGTAATAAAGTATTCCTGCGCCAATAAAAACACATATACATTTGGCCTAAATTTACGTATACGAAAAAATCAAAATTTTTAATATCTTATTCAAAATTTGGCCTTTAATAAGTCCAATCGCAATTGCAATTCTGTTTGTGTGTATGCATTTGCGTGCATAAGTGCACATGTACACAGAAATTCTTCGGCTCTGCGCTGGCAGCCACTTGGCTTGGCAATAGAGGCGAACGTTATCTTCAATAACTTATGTGATCGTGATCGTGACGATATTGGTAGCAGAAAATATTATTGTGCTATTACGATTACGGTGTTTAACGATTATCGGAAAACAAACTCATAAGGCGCAGGCACTAGGAGGAACTACGTTAAAAATTACAATTCTCGAGAAATCTAGAGACGGAAGGACAGAAAGACGGACAGACGGACAGACAGACTGGCATGGCTAGATCGACTCGGCTATTGATGCTGATCAAGAATATATATATATATATATATACATATATGAGGTCGATGTTGTCTCTTTCTGTGCTTTACGTATTTCTACTTAAATTTTAATACCCTCTACAAAAGTTCAAAAAAAATTGTTATATTCAAAAGTGTTGCATACTTTTTGGCTCTTATAGAAAAAATGTTTACTGGTGCACTGAGCAGCCCTAATGGTGGGAGGAAAGCCTTCTAAAAAGCTAACTGAAAGCTTGCCGCACAGCAAAAGCTTAAAGCGCGTGTGTCAAAGCTCATTGCTGAGCACCGTTTTCAGGGTAGGGGCCAACAGCAAAGGCTGCCCCAGTTTCTGCCAGCAGCCCTGACATGTACCAAGCACAAAGAGCCAGAAAGTGGGTCAAGTAACTGGCGGCTGCCCTTGGCACGGCGAATTTGTCCTTGATGCCAGTTTATCCAATTGAGATGGAATACATGGCATCCGGACTGGAGTTTGCCCAGAAATACATAGAACTGTTTGCCAAAAGATTTTATAAGATATATATTTTCAAATTCCAATTGCTGGTTTTTTTTTTATTCTTGGATATATTTATCTTTTTCTCATATTTTGATAGGTGAAATGTAAATAAAGCTTTTGCACTTAAAAAGTTTTGATTATACATGTAAAATTAGTACGATTTAGTTAAAATTGAGTTTAAATTTAGTTTAAATATTATTTACTTTAAACTTGGCTTATTATTTAATATCTTTAATTGTATTTCCATAATTGTTATTCATGATGCATATTATAAATTTGGGCGGCTTGCGAGGATTGTGTGGTTCAGTGGAGTTTTAATGGGTTGGGGGCTGGCCGGGCCCTGACACAAATACGCACACATACTACCTGCACATATATATGTACATGCATTTACACATATGTACAGCCAATTTCGTGCAGCGCCTGGAATGTGGGTCAACATATTTTCGCTGCTGCCTGACGCTGCGTTGCGACCCATTTTTGTTTTATTTACTTAATTTTAGTTATTTTTTGTATGTTGCAAGCTGCGACGTCAGTTGCCACAGTGCTGCAGGCGATATTTAATATACAATTTATGGGTGGTGGCAATTGAGCTCGCAGTTCAGAGTTCAGTGCACAAAATAACAGCAACAACAACAACAACAACAACAACAAATAGCTGACAACTGAGCGCAGCTTTGGGGTAGGATGCGGAACAGTTCCATGATCTGCGCCCAATTTTGTCGTCGAATGTCGTCTCTCGCTTGGCACAATGAAAATGTCTGTCTGCCTTGTTGCTGCTTTCCACGAAAAATTTATGACCGACTGTCAACATTGCCACGCACAGCCCAGGGGCAAAGACCAAGCGCAGTTGTGTATGTGTGTGTGTGTGTGTGTGTGTGTGGCACGGGGAGCGGCAATTCGATGATCGGTGAAATTAGTTTGTTAGCCATGTCAAGTATTCTCTTTGCTTTTTTTGTCATACAGGTGCCGCGTCTCTTGCTCCAGCGAACTGTGGCCAACCGGTTGTCAAAATGCTGGACATGACATCAATTTGTATCTGCAACTGGCAACTGGCAACTGGCAACTGGCAACTGGCAACTTGGCGTCTTGGCTTGCCACAGTCCGGAACGTAGCGCACTTTGTTTCAGCATATTTCAGCGCTCATCTTTGTCTAGAATTTATGCTTCCTGGCGCTGACGTGTGCACATCAATCACACGACGCGTTTGCTAACTTGATTTTCATTATGTGCTCAACGCTGACCCCTCACCCCCTGGCAAACAACAAGAAGAACAACAACAAGCAGCAAACAATGGCAACAAGCATTCTAATTGAGCCAGCACGCAACTTGCAACCGTTTTTAATCCCAATTTCAATGCCACCGAGGTTGGCTGTTGGCGTAGCGCCCAGCTTTGGCCTCTGACAGCTTTGATGGACACTTGACACACACTTTCGTGGCACACACACACAGCTGGACAGCTGAGAAAGCAGCAATTGGACTCATTTATATTCATAGCAAATGAAATGAAAGATTTGTACATAAAGAAAATGAATAGATATAGAAGCTATAGTTTCAAGCGATAGTTTCGAGATCCTGTTAAATTATGAAAGACACAAAAAAAGAAAGCTACTGATTTAAATTACGAGCTCTCTGATTTAAATGCAACTGTAGTCTATGAAAAATACTTAATTATTATAATAATAGTACTAGCAAGTTGGCAAATTTATGCAAATATTAGATCAATTTTTCCGATTTGCCACGCCCACGTAACAAAAATATACAAATCGATCTATTGAGAAGCTCATCATTAGTCATTACTCAAACTTTGTTCACTCTAGCTATAAAACCAAAATAACCAATTCGCTTTCTCAATTGAACTCTGAACTTGCAAAGATCCAACTGTTGAGCCAGAATTAAAAACCCAAATAACGGTTAAGCACATGATAGGAACTCGCGAGAGATTCTTTATTCATCCATTGCTAACACTTCATTGGCGCATTGCAGTGCAGTGCAGAGCAGCGTGGTTGGTTAGACAAGGAGAGGCAATTGAAATCTGCACTGCGTACATGCCATTGGTCGCAGCGCTTTTGATCCCGTTAGCTTAGTTGTGAGTGCAGGAGTTATAATAACTGTTTGCTCTTCACTCTCACTACATTAGTGCGAATGGCGGCGAAGTGAGCTTTATGCGGCTGTTTAGTGTGTGGGCGTCTGTCCTGCAGATCGGTTGTGTTCGTTGTGCGTGTGTTCAAAATAGTTTTCTAATAAAATTGATTTAACTTAAGGGTGTTAGGCGCGAATTACTTATGGAAGCGGTGTGTGTGTGCGTAAGTTTCTGTTAAACTATTTAATGTCTGTCTTTGAGCCGTGCTTCGCACTTGAATACAGATTTCTCGGTGCTAAGCTTTTTATACACATCCAGCGAGAGAGAGAGAGAGTAAGCGCGCGAGAGCGCAAAGGAGCGCAAGAGAGTTTCATAATCTAATTTGAAACAGGTAATCTTGAATAAGTTATAGGCATGTATATGTATATAACATATACCCTTAACAGAAATTTCTCAGTACATATAAGGTACATATTGTACATCAGTACATATGTATATTAGAACAATCGGGCATAGATTTTCGCTATAAAACAGTAGCAAGTGTTAAATTTTACCGCTCATCTGCTTTTTGCGTTGGAGGGTATATAATGTTCGGCGTGCCGAAAAAAGCTGTTATTTCTCATTGAGTAACTGTATAGCAAAGCTCCCGATAGAAGTCATATCCAACTCTTACATTAACTGAGTTCAATGCGTTTCTTAACTTGATAAAAAATGGAATAATGTTGACTTGTTTGATGTGAAAGTGGAAGGCCAACCCCAACGGCAAAGTTGAAGAAAAGGACAGGAATGTATCGAATGTTGCGCATGAGCAGGGCTGAAAGGCAGTCGATGAAAACTGAAAAGCTGAGGCGAAAATGGAAAGTTCGTATTGCGGTATCCATCAGAACGGCCAGCGCCCAATAAAAGACGTAAAAAACCCAATTTCATGAAATGTAATGATATACTCAAAGTATATATACACACACATACACAAACACACACGGATATATGTGAGTACATATTATGGAAGTATTTTCAAAATCCGGTTTCGAAGGCAATCGAAACCAAATCGCACACACATACACATAGCATGTACAGAAAGGCGGCCAATACTCGGGGAAAATATATAGACGGCAACAAAAATGAACACAAAAATTACAAGAAACAAACATTTTACAAATATAATAAAGATATCCAGAGGAATTAAAAGATAAATCATAATTAATTATTAATTTACAATAATTAATACACAACTTTGTGACTGAATAGTTGTCCAAGCCAAGGAACTGCTTCGTAGCTTGGCATAGGAAAACTTTTTTAGCCACCCACCGGAGCGCCCACCGTGCGCTCATTCCAATCAGACGAATTGAGGACGCTGTTAGCTAACAGCAGTTCCCGTTCTAATTGACAAGCGTGCGCTCTTACAATGTTAAGCGCAGCACACACACACGCACACACGACAAAGACTCTCTTTGACTCTATGTGAGCATTAGAGCGAGCAAGCTGACTGTTGATTTACTCTCTCGACTGGTTGACCTATTTTCCAGTTTGGTAATATGCCAGTGAGTGTGAGTAAATGTGAGTGTGCATGTGTGCGTGTGAGCGCGCCTTATGTTGTTGTCTTGCTCCATCTAACGCTTTGTTTTGGTTTTGCTTTTTGCGTTTCTCTTCGTTTGGTTTGATTTTGTAACACACAGATTGCACCGGCAGTCCCTGCGCTGTTGTTACTATTGCTGTTTTTTTTTTGTTTTTGTTTTCGTAACTGCGTATTTGTTGTAATGGCCAACGACAAGCGCTGGCAACGCTCCGTTGAATACAATTTGTGGCTGTTGCTGCTGCTGCTTCTGCTGCTGCTAGCGGCTGAGGAATTTCCACTCAAGAAATGATTAATTGATTTCGGCAGATAGCACATCTCTGCAGTTGGGCGCCATTGCGGGCTACAGGTTGTCCAAATGCAAATTTATTCAGCTAGGCAATGATCAAAATCTGTGAAATCTTGAATGAACATTTGATATTATTTGATCTAACAGACTTTAGATATATGTAGGTATGTATGCAAGTTATATGTGCTTACAAAACGTTTGACAACGTCCCCCTTTGACCCACACCGTAAACTACGCAACGCATTTGGACATCTATCGCAAATGGCGTTTTCAAATGCTTTAGGCATGAAATCCACCCCAAAAATATCAAAACAACAACAACAGCAACGAACGAGCACAGCATAAATCTATGCGCCTGTACATGAATACGTATGTATGTACATACATACATATGTATGTGTATAGGTATGTGCGCATATTGGCCCCTGTAGCGCTGATGGATATCGAGGCAGCGTACGCCCAGAAAACGACAGCCCCAGCCCCAGCCCTCGGCCCCGAGCCAGCCCCCGCATGCTGACAGCAGTGGCGTCGCTGTGGTATGCCTACACAGAGGTCATTCCAAAGGCAACAACAATGCCAATATAACAGCTACAGCATACAACATACAGCCAGCATAATACAGCAACAACAGAGGCCCCCCAAAAATCAGAGATATGTATGTATGCACGTGTGTATGTGTGTATGTGCGTTCAATATTCACAGCAGCGACATCAACAACAGCAGCAACATCGCGGTGTTGCCGATGTAAACAAAAGCATAATAACAGCTGTGAGTTGCTGAGAGCGAAGAGAAAAAGATCACGCTCTCACCCACACACAAGTACACAAATGAAGTGCTCTCTTTAACTGTTAAACTTGTGATGTTGACAGAAAACCGGCCGGCAATTTTTATAGCAATACCCTGCAATAGGAAAATAACTAACATGGCATATACATTTTGACAATATGTTTAAACAACATTTAATTTATTCAAGATCAGACTGATGTTACGGTGATGTTACAAAATACAACATACATAGCTGATTACATATATATTTTAAGCGGATAAAACTTACTTAGCTCTCAGTGAATTTTTTAAATATTTTGCCATATAAGCTATTAATATTATGTACTTAACGTAGCATGAGTAATAAGTGAAGTATAGCTGTTAATTATAAACAATTGTAGTAAGTACAGAGTACTTGGAAGTCGCGCAAACACAAGTGGTGTGCTCTCATCTGTTATGTGGCTGAGTGCTTACTGTGCTCAACAGCTGTTTTCGCAACATTGTTGCTGCTCTGCCAACAACAGCTGTTATCATGTTGGCAGCGTCTGCCGCTCTCTCTCTCTCTCCCACTCTCTTCGCTCTGTTGTTCATATCGCGCACAGCAGGCATAAACATGCACACTCTCACACTCACACAGCTATGCATACAAATACAGAGTTATGCGGCGCTCTGTTGACGTTGTGAAAAATGTTGACAAGTGTTTAACTTTTTGTTAACTGCGTAGTTTTTTTTGGGTTGGGGTTGGCAGCAGCAACAAACGACGACGTCGACATTTGCTGTTATGCTGGCAAACAGGCGATGATGGCGTCATAGAGACACAGACACACGCACACATATGCACATACCCGCTGACTGACTGGCTGGCCATATTGATAAGCGCACTGCGCTGCTGCGTATTGATACCAATTGGCGTTAATTACGTGGGCAAAGAGGAAGACAATGCCAATTTGGAAATGATTTTCTTTATTGTCTTGGCTGTATATAATGGCAAAGCTAATTAAAATACATATGTATGTATATACACATGCATGTGTGTATGTAATTACATATATACGCATTTGCAGTGTCAGTAGCTTGACACATCGACATAACAAATTAACAGCTAGTCTTGATGCTAACATTTTTCGATAGCCGCGACTGTTAACTCAATTGAGGCCTATGTTGTAAGTATGTGCGCGTGTGTGTGTGTATGTGGTGAATGCATTTTCGACGCTTTCAAGAGCATGTTTCTCAAGTATTTTACGTATTATGTTGGCAGCAGGGGAAAAACTTGCACACACTCAAACACGCCACACACACACAAACACAGCTGCATTTATGTTGTTTTTCAAAGCAGGTACGTACGAAAGCATAATATACAACAAACCAAGCAAGCAAAAGCAACAGCAACAGAGAGCAACACCCCAGACAGAGAGGCAGAGCAAGAGAGATAGCGAAAGAGCGCTGTTTTTGTGTGTGTGTGTGTGTGTGCTTGTGTGAGTGCTGCTCGCTGCGCGTAACTGTAACTCGTCGTTCGCTCGCTCAGTCTTTGATAGCCAACTCTCGTGTACAGACCGATAAGCGCTTATTGCGAGCTGCCCTCGTCGTCACCGCAGACGCCAAAAAACCCGAACAATCAAAACAATCCAAAATAATAAAATATATATTGAGCAGAAAACAATTGACAACAGTGTGAATGCTTCTTAATTGAAGGCAACAAAACGCATTGGGTAAGCCCTAGCAATAATAACAACATCAACAAAGGCTGCAACAGCAACAACAACAGCAACAACAACAATAACAACAACCAACAAATAGTGCAGCATCAGAAGCAACCAACAGCAGATTGCATCCATTTTGCTCTCTTGCGCTTTGTTAGTGTGTTCTGTGTGCGTGTGCCTGTGTGTGTGAGACGAAAGAAAAAAACTTGGAAGAAAAAGTGAAACGACCGGCAGCGAAAGCAGCGTGAAAGCAAAGCAAGCAATAAATATATATACATATACACACACATACATAGGCATATGTATTTATGTGCATATAGAAAATAAAACGCCAATCAGCGCAATTTAACAACAACAATAACAACCACAACAACAACAACAAAGAACAATATAAAACATATCGATTAGCCAACAGATTAGAGAACAAAAACTGAAACAAACATTTTATGTGACATCAATAATAAAAAAAAAAGAAAATTGCCAACGAAATTGTTTAGTTTCCGTGACAGTGGCAACTGGCTGTCAAGCTGACGTTAACAACGCCTAAAATTGGATTATGCTTGGGCACAAACGCAACAGCAGCAACGCCCAACAGAAGACGCACAGCGAGCATGTGAAGCTGCCCGGAAAAACAGATGCACTGCATCCCCAGTTGTATAGGAATACGCCCGTCCAGCGTTTACAGTTCAATCAGCATCTGAACCAGCGAGTTACGTTCTGCCTGGAGCTCTATCACAAGAACATTATCAAAAAACTATCCGAGCTTAGGAAGATTAACGTGTACAAATTGACCAAAAACGTTTGCCAGACTTAAGATACTTTTATTAAATAATCAAAAAAAAAAACAAAACTGTGTGCAACAAGTTGTCCAAGTGAAGCTCAAAGTTTTCGTGTGTGTGTGTGCGTGTGTGCACGCAGCTGTATATGTGTGTATATACAGTATATACAGTGAAGTTGAAAATTCAAAGTATAAAATAAAAATACAAATACAAATAAAAAACAAAAGTGCAATACAACAAAAGAAGTGTGCAACAAAAATGTCAAGTGCAAAAAATGCTGCTGCCAGCCAAACAAGCCAAGTTCAAGTCTTAAATTCATAGTAAAACTCAACAAACAAACTAAAACAACAGCAAACAAAAAACGTAGAAAAAGGCGTTTAAAAGTTCTGCAACTGCCGCAACCAAATAAAAACGCTACGAAAACGCCAGTAAAACGCGCGCGCCGCTCGCTTAAAAAAAAATTGAAACATATATATTAATATAGCCCAGAAAATTAACTCGAAAATGTCCACTAGCCGCCGTTTGGCCAAACGCTCAATAATTGGCACCAAAGTGTGCGCACCCGGCCCCGACGGCCTCTGGTACTCGGGCGTCATTCAGGACGTTAAAACGCCGACATCCATGTCCTCCACGCCGGAGCCAATGCCGCCGCCCACCTTCCTGGCACCGGGCGATGCCCAGTTGAACGCGGACACGCGCTATATTGTGCGTTTCGATTTTAAGACCCAATCGCTGCCGTCTGGCGTCACCGCAAACGCATCGGCGTCCGCGTCCTCGTCCGCGTCCTCGGAATCGGTTATTGTGGAGACGCGACGCGCCGCTGCCGCCGCCAATGTGCACATCAGTCCGGCTCAGGCATTGCGCCGCAACGCCATGACAAAGGAGTTTCGCGAATCGGACCTTATCGGGCCTGGCTTTCGATCCATTATGAGCATACAGCTCCAGCCCGGACAGCGCATCTTTCTCACCTACAATGGACGCGAGCAGAGCGGCGACGTGGTCCTGCACGATGTCGCCAAAGATGAGGTGGTCGTCAAGATAACCACAGCTGGAAATGAGGTGAGTCTCAAACTACAAACAAGCTAAATCCAACATAATCCTAGAGTGATCTGTTTTAATTCTGGGTGTGTCCGATAATCACACAAGTAAACTATGAAATATCTGCGCAATTTATATAGGAAGATTATAATCTAAGGAGATTTGCCTATTTGTCATGGAGTACAGCTGAGATCTAAAGCATTTCGAATATAAAAAAACTTGGTTTTGACAGGAATATATTACTCTATATACATATATAGTATTCCTCGGATCTAAGATCTGAGATTTGATCTTTCAGAGAATGCAATTGAATATAAAATAATAAATGATTAAATATTTTTGTTTATTTATCAACGTCTGTTTTTAAATCAATTTGAATACAAATAAATGTATTCATTAATATCTCAGTTAAAATAAAGAGTCTTAAGGCTAACATGTAGCATAAGGGAAATCCCTATAAAAAGAGTCTAGACAAACTGAAATTTATAATATATGTTGTCTTTTCCGGATGAAATTTGGAAGCATATCTGAAAAGATAAGAAAATTAAGATCAACTATTTAAAACAGAATTTAATCAAATTATATTCTAGAGCTTAAAATTGTAATTTCTCGCGACAATTTGCATTCGATAGATGCGATTGAACTATTTTCTTGGCTAATTAACTCAATCGAAATATATTAAAAAAGAGGCAAGCTTTGGTTATTTGATTTGTGTGCCTCCACTTGGTTGCACGTTGTGTCCGCCCACGACATGACAACTGTGCAGCTGGCGCTGGCGCTGGCGCTGGGGCTGGGGCTGGTGGCGTGCGTTAAAAAGTGTGTCAAGGTCAGCCCCAGCCACAGCCCCAGTGAGAGTCACAGCTATAATGTTGGGGGGCGCTTCACATGTATCTATGCATCTATGTATCTATGTATCTATGCATCTATATATCTATGTATCTATGAATCTATGTATCTATGAATCTCTGAATCTATGTATCCGTACAATGCATGGCAGCGCATACTATGCACATTATGTATATGCTTTTGTGCACTTATGTGCATTCGGTGTTTCTATATCTTTGTGACACGGCAAATTGGTTTTGGGGGTCGCATTTCGCGTTTCAGAGTCACGTAACTGGGTTAACGCGGCTTACTGAGTGTGGCCTTCTTCTTCTGCTGCCCCGGGATGGCCCAAATCCAAAGCCAAACCAAACAAATTGCTATACTCCAGTTGTCGACATCATCGTCTGCTATATGAATCATAAGAACCCAAGAAACAGAGGCCAGTCTTTCAATTCGCTAAACTTTTATCATAAAAGCTGCCTTGACTAATTTTAATATCTATATCTATACTATATAGAAAGTAATAATAGTTATTTTCATCTTCTGTTTTTTTGTTTAGAAATTTCATTTCCCGTCTAAATTCAATTATTATGCCATTTAAAATGATTATAGTTGGGTACTGTAAAATGTCCTGGCTTCAGAGTTGATTCTGCGATCGTTCCATACATAACATTAAGAATTAATTAATATATTTTAAATGTTATGATCTATTTAAGAAAAATATATTCCAGAGTTTACTGATATTATACAATGATATTATTATGACTGTTAATGATATTATTGTTTTATTATTAGTAAAATTATTGTTACTATATTTATTTTTATCATTATTATTATTACTATTATAGTTAAAATAATTATTATAACTGTTATTATTACTTTTTATTAATATTATTTTTATTTTTATTGTTATTATTATCATTATTATTATTGTTATTACTATAATTATTGTTATTGTATTATTATTACTATAATTATATTTATTATTACAAAATAAACTTAAATCCTTTCAATTGCCTGGCTGATCACTTATTCATCTTAATTTTATATCATTATTTTTAAAGATATATCATTCCATGAATAAATAACCGGGCTAACCTCCATTCCTGTATAATATCTGTTCTATATATAAATTGATAACATAATGAACAATTGGTTTAAGACTCTTTTGTATGGGGCAACTGTTTGTTTCTGCGAAAACAACTGAATTCATCGGGGTTCACGTTCAGTACTGCGAAGCTATGCTCCAAAATCTTCCGTCTCCGACCACAGCCCCAACAAAATTACGTCACTCGAGCGACGAGCAGCCCGCACGATTAGAGTGTGAAGCATCGTTGGGGCATTTATAGAATCGCTCGGTTTCGATGCCGATGCCGATGCCAATGACGATGCCATCGATGTCGTAATAAAAAATTTGTTTAGCATTAAATTCGTGAAAGAATGCGATAGACCAAAAACGAAAAGCAATGTGCGTTGCATGTTCAGGGTTAGATAAACATACTATATGCTACTTGGATCTATGTTGATGGGGCGTTCAATTCTCGCAATTCTGACGCTTTTCGACTAATTATGTAGATTGTTCGCCATTGGAATTGTTGCTGCTTAATTGCGTCATAAGTCAAGCAGATACATAAAATTATTGTTGATAGATGTCATAGATACATGTGTAGTTAAATAAATGCCGCTGCATGTTGTACTATATGTATTTGTATCTGTGAGATACATACGCACCTTCCACGACTGAGACCGGCATCGGCCTCGAACTGCGTTTTCTACATTACCTCCTCTATCTATCTCTACGTATCTCTCTCTTTCTCTGTCGCTTATATTTTGCCTTTTGCTTGCGCTCATTCCTCGTATCTACTTCCTACACTCGCTAGTTGTTTTATTTTGTATTTTTTTTTCTTTTTGCCCGCCTGTTCTCTATCTGCTATAGCTTTTTAACTAATAATCGCTAAATACTCGTACGTTTGCAATTGTTGCACTGCACTGGGGCGTGCGCTAACTATGAGATACACAAATGCACAGATACACAGATACAGATACAGATACAGATACAGCTACAGCCGCAGATAGCCAGTCTCAATGCCAACTCAGCTGCGCGTATCTGTTCCGTGTGGCTTGTCAATACGTTTGTCAGTAAGCGTCTTTCATGTGTGTGTGTGCGTATGTGTAGTTGTATCTCGAAGAGCGCGCGAGCCTCAATGTATCTAACGGATGCGTAGCGACAACATCTCATTCCAATGTGGCCCTAACATGCCTAAGGTTTCTCGATTGTGTTTTTTTTTTTTGTTTTTTTCTAACACAACAAAATATGGTCACACTTTTTATGCAGTTTCTAAAAATATTTCACCCCTGAGTTCAAGCACATAAACTTTTTCAATAAAATTGACTGTAAAAGTTGGTGTTTAATAAATAATTAGTCTATTTTTGCAAATATTGAGTGGATACTTGGGAGCATTCGCAAGCGTTTAGTTAGTTTAATTATTATTTGTTCAGCTTAACGTAAACTTTAAATTAACTAAGCAACGATTTTTTAAGTTTTAAATAAGTTTAAAGTTAACTTAACTACAACTTTTCTAGCTTTATGTAAGCTTAAAGTTATATGAACTACAATTTTCTAGCTAAAGTTAGCTTTACGTAAGCTTGTTAATAAAATTTTCTTGCTTAGGTAAGCCTTCAGTTAGCTTAACTACAATTAAGGTAAGCTTTAACCTAGCTTAAATTTACTTTTTCTAGATCGAAATAAGCATTAAGTTTCTTAACTAATATTTTTCCAGCTTAACTTAAGCTTAAAGTTAGCTTAGTTTTAGTTTTTCTGGCTTTCAGTAAACTTTTAGTTAGCTTTACCACAATTTTTCCAGCTTAAAGCCAACATGCCGCCGATTTCAGCTTGCTTTATTAAGCCCTTGCGCTTTTCAACCAAAATTTGTTTATGACCTCATCATTAGCTACGTTGTTTAGCCAGCCGGTCAGCTAGTTAGTAAATGAATTACACACCCAAAATCTAAATACGCTTTGTTGTGTTGTGTTGTGTTGTGTTTCTTTATTTTTATTTTTTTCAGCTATTGCTGTTTCCCGCAAGTCAATCAACAATTGGGCTTAAACTCAGTTTCATAATCATAATGTAGATGTAAAAAGCAACAACAACAACAACTGAAATATGCAGATGTATAAAGTTATGTATCTGTATCTAAGGCTGTCCTCGCATAGATGTTGGGGCATGTGATGCTCACGTGCTTTGTCTGCTGCGAGCCAGTTTCATATTTTATACAATGAGCCATTGTTGTTTTGCTTGTCGTTGTTTCTTGTTGTTGATGTTGTTGTTGTTGTTTGTTGCTACGTAAATGGGGAAAACGCAGTCTAAAAAAATATTTGAATTTGAATTTTTGTTCGACTTGAGCAACAGCCTTTTGTTTATGGCACTGAGTAAACACACACATACAAAAGCTCGAGAGCCGGCCAAACTAGTTGGGGAGTGTAGCAGTAGATATGTGTGCGTCTGTGTGTGCGTGCGCTTGTGTGTGTTTGACGGAAACGTGAGGCAATTTATTCTAAGGTTATTTGAGCGAGAAACTTGTTGCTTGCATTTTCATTTCAATTACGATGACGTATACGCCGCGTCAGGCGCCTAATTACCAGCCAATGAATCAGTGGCCAGCTCGGCAGACAGCCCTATATTATTAACCAAGCCAATATGATTAAAGGTTCAAATTAAGCGCAACTCTTCGTGCAAATGTCAGGCGCCATTTATCAACTTATTCTCATATTTTTCTTTTATTTGTTTTTATTCTTTTTTTTTTTTTGCCTGGAGCTTTGCTGTTTATGCGTTAACTGCGGCAGCAAATGCTCGACTGCCGTCTTAAGACAAGTAGCCAAGCAGCGATTTGTTAGCTCGCACTTCCGCAGGGCATGGCATGGCCAGACCCATTGCCAGTTCTCTCCCCTCTGCAAAATGCATTTAAAAGCAAATTTATTTTAATGACATTGAAAATGCTGCTCGTGTATTTTACACGCAACTACGTCGAGCAGCGGACTGACATACATTCATGTGTTTCGTGTTCCCAAAAAGCTGATACAAAAGAAAAAGAACGGCAACCGAAGATAAAATACCCTTGCAGAGATATGGCTTACGGCTTGGCAGATGAGTTGGAAACATAGAGAGGAGGGTCGTAATTGCTGAGTTTGGTCAAGAT